GAAGAGTAAAGCGCTGTACACACAACACTACCAGGGGCTGGGCCTGGGGCTCTGGGGGTGGGATGTGACACAGGACAGCCTCTTCAGAAAGCCAAGAGGGTTTGCTCTTCCCCCTCCTCCTTTGGGAAGCCTTGCTCGTCTGGAAGGGGAAAGGGAAGGAGGCACCTGCTCACCTGAGGCAGTGACAAGGCTGCAGGTGCTGAGCAAATGGAGAGATTATCACAAGCATGGACATGAGAATGACCCTGACTAATGAAGATGCACCCCAGCAGCACCATGAAAGCAAGCTCTGAAGGGCACAGACTAAAAGGGGCCACCAAGTTCAGTGTTAGTGCCCCCCCCCCCCCCGAGCAGCTTATGTGCCCAGACTTCTAAGAATCAAAAAGATTTCTCAGAACATGAAACCTGGGAGGCAAGATCCCTTCCTGCTGCTGATTCCATCTCAGAAGAAAAGCAGATACAGCTCTGTGTGGTAAAACCAGCCCCGAAATCAGCAACAGAATGAACCCCAAAAGCAACTAGAGTGGCTCTGCAGTCAGATCTAGTCCAGATCTCACTCACCATCCACCCACCTACTTACTTCTTGAACTCCACACTCAAAACACTTGTTCTCTTCCACTGGCTCAGGTGTTTGGCAGTATCTGCAGACAGGACACCTGGAGGGCAACAAGCATGATGGTGAGGCACGAGGAGCTCCATCTGAACATCACAGCAATTAAAAAGAGAGCTCCAAGTAAATGAGAGTGTACAGGGAGAGTCCCACTGCACGGGCACCTCTCTCAAATCTGCCTCCAGCACACGCAGAGCTGCTGGTTTTAAGCCAGTGAATGACAGAAGAACAAAGACCCATTCTTCTGAAGCCATTTCACAGCCTCAGCTTGAGCTGGTTTTGCTGCAGTCCAGGTGTAGAGAACATCTGCACCCCAGAGCAGCAGCAGGACCACCAGGAGCCCCCCCCCAGCCTGGGCTGCCCCCCCCAGCAGCGTGGGCACAGGGCAGGGAGGGGATCCTGCCCCTCTGCCAGCTCTGGGAGACCCCCCTGCAGTGCTGGGGCAGCTCTGGAGTCCTCAGCACAGCAGAGCCAGGGACCTGCTGGAGCGGGGCCAGAGGAGCCCCAGCAATGCCCCGAGGGGGGAACCCCTCTGCTGGGAGCCCAGCAGGAGAGAGTTGGGCTGGGGCAGCTGAGAGGAGAAGGCTCCAGCTGGGGAGACCTGCTGGGGGCTGCCAGGGGCCTGCCAGAAACCTGGGGGGGACTTTTGAGCAGGGGCTGTTGGGACAGGACCAGGGGGGATGGTTTGAAACTCAAAGCGGGAGATTTAGACTAGATGCCAGGAAGAAATTTTTGACACTGAGGGTGGTGAGCCCCTGGCCCAGGCTGCCCAGAGAGGTGGTCACTGCCCCATCCCTGGAACCATCCCAGGGGAGGTTGGAGGTGTCTCTGAGCACCCTGCTCTAGCTGCAGATGTCCCTGCAGAGGGGCTGGATGAGATGACATTTAAAGGTCCCTTCCTGCCCAAACCAGTCTGGGATCCTATGATCACAGTAGCAGGCAGCCCTCTATAATTTCTTTTGAAAGTTTACCACTGTGCTGCCAGAAAGACTTAAGATCCCAGACCAGAAGGAACCTTTGTCCAGACCCTGAGCCCCAGAAGCTCAGCTGGGGAGCAGGGTAACCAAGGCTGTAGCCCATTGCCAGGGCTGTTTATGTATTTTTCATCAGCTGCTGAATAAGCTACAGAAATATTCAAGGGTGGAGACAACTGGATTGCAGTCAGCTCCCTATCCAAATTCAGGCACTGACAGCCTCCCTGGCACCTAAGCAACAAGGACAGGGATTTCCTTTTATTCTTCTTCTAGACAGGGAGCATAAGTTCTGCTTAAATTGTAGATGAGATACTTAAATGCCATTTTGGACCTTGCTCCTAGAGTGGCTAAGCTTCACTGCTTCAAATTGAAACCAGTTTTGATTTATGGAGCAAAGCAGCTCATCAACTTCAATAGCTACAAACCTGATGAATCTTACCAAGGTTCTGTTACTGACTCACAAATGATTTACAGAGGGCCACAGTTTTCCTCACACTCCATCAGAGAATGGGGTGCTTGGGGTACCAGTGACAGAGAAGGCATCACTGAAGCTCAGCAGCCTTCTGCTGCAGTCTCTGACTGCCTGATGTGCAGCAGAACAGCAAACAGGAGTGCAAACAACACACACCCCATGGCAGGGCAAGGGTGCCAGCTGGGGGCTCTGCAGCCAGGAGCTCAGGCACATCACAATCCCCACCACAGGGGTGTGAAGGATGGGAACAGAGACAACAGGGAAGGCACAGCTCTTCTAATTTACTGTGTAAAGAAGAGCTGCTTGAAGGACAGATGAGGCCCACCACCCAGCCCTGCCCAGGGCCACACCTCCCATTGCTCAGCCCATGCCCACCTGGACTGATAGACTCTAGACACTCTCAACAGCCTCTCTAGAGCAGCTGCCTCCCCTTCCCCATTTACTGATTGATCTTGTCCTCACCCCTTCCTTCCCCACCTCCCTTGTGTTTCACTTCCCAGCCCTGTACACCTGCTCTTGCCCAGCTCTTCTTCACCCTCTCCCAGCATCTGAAGAAGTCAGCAGGACAACAGGACTCCCAAAAGGGCTCCTGAGCTGCAAATGACTGCACAGACACACAGGACTGAGTGGAACAGGGCTGGGTGTACAATCAGTGCCATTTACCCCAGGATTGCTATCCTACAATGTTTTAAAACAATCAGCATCACTCTACAACTCCTCTCCTGCCTTAGAGAAACATCGTTTGATTATTTTTGGTGGGGAGATTTCTCTCTGAGAGTTCCTTAATGGGGAAAGGGGAAAAAAAAGAGCATTAGAACTTGCAGTAATTCTGGTCCTCACACTCTGATAAGCAGAGCCAATCTTGTCAGCACGTAACCACCCTGTTCCAACAGGGGTTTGGCTGTGGAAGCAAAGAGCAGGGTCTTACGTGGTGTCCTCCCAGCGTTGCAGGCACTGGCTGTGGAAGCTGTGGTTGCACAGGGTGGTGAGGATCCCGTTCACAGACTCATCCATCCTCTCCAGGCACACCGTGCACTTTGGGAGCTCTGTCAGATCCATCACAGGCAGGCTGGCCCCCTTCAAAAGAAGGAGCAGAGGCAAATTGCTCAGCATCTTCCAAGCACCATCAATTAAGCAAAAAGTCCAACTTCTTTCCTATTAGGGCTGGCACTGGGGTAAAAAAATATTGCAAACTAATCCTGTGAGTCTGCACAGTGCTTAGAAATGAAAAAGGAAAAGCAAACACCAAATGTGATCCACAGCACTCAGCTGATCACAGCCAGGATCCTCTTTGCAGCACAGCTCAGTGCAACTGGGACCAGCCTCAGTTGGGTTTCTGGATTCCCTTATCTGCCACCCACAGCAGGTTTAGATCAGAGAGGCTGCAGAGACGTGGCACAAAGCCCAGGAGGTCACCAAACAAACCCTCCTACGTAGCACCAGAACAGGAAACAGGCTTTGGGCTGAGGCACTCAGGCAGCTCTCCCAGTTGAAACAATCCTGTTAAAACCCTGTGAAGTGCAAGGGGAAAAAAACAAACCAAACCAAACTTACATCTTCTGATTTGAAGACCTCAGCCCTCTCCACATACACCAGCTGGCACACGTCCTCCTCGATGGAATTGAACTGCCGGCCGTTGCAGGCCATGTAAAAGCTGTCTGCATCAGCCTGCTCAGGGAACAGAGGAGAGAAAAAGGGGTTAACTCCCAGCTGACACCGAGGAGAAACCTGCTGTACCCTCTCTGCTGCCCTCTGCCAAGCCCTGGAAGGCCAGGGGAGGGATTTCAGACAGCCAGCTCCTGCGTCTTGGCGCGGGGTTTGGCGTCGCCCCTCGGGGACAAGGAGTGAAGTTCAGAGCCCTGACAGCTGCTCTGATAGCTGAGCAGCAATAATGCCTTTCCCTCCACATCTGTCCTGCCCTTTGTCAGCAATTTCAGAGCATTCTCAAAGCAGGCTGGGTCTCTGCAAAGGTTTAAGAGGGCCCACACTGCAGGACACGTCAGGGAAAGGACCAAGTTTCGGTGTGGGAAAGGCTCCACCTCGCTGGCCACCATTCAGGTGTGCTCTGAACCATGCCCAAGCTACCTGCAAAGAGACAGAACCAAACCAAACCTGCCAAAAACATCACCCCCTTTCTCTCAGTAACCTCCCCAAACCCTCTGGCTCACAAGCAACCACGCTGGACTGAGACAAGCTGGCTGAATGCTGGATTTTTTATTCCTGCTTATCCCCACATCCCACTCCAGCCACAGGGATAAAAGCCCTGGGGATTTGCTTTGGCTACCTGCAGACCCAGCCATTAGGGGTCACTGAGGAACAGGCCTGCAGGAATTCCCTCAGAAACATGAATTTGGGGGTGAATTGAGTGCCAGCTTACAGATCTGTAAGGCTGTTAGATATCTGTCATTTGGTACAGTGAGGCACAAACTGCATCAACCACAAAGAGCACAAAAATGGAGACAAACATTGTGTGTCTCTACAGCAGGCATGGGAAATATCTCTGGCAGCACGTATCCTTAATATTCTCTTCCAACATCCAACAAGGGATGGGATACCTAGAAGATGGTAGACACTTGCTTCCAGGTCTGCCACTCCCAGGAACACTCTGGGCAGCAGGACAGGATTGTTTCTCTGAGGGGAAGATGCAAGCTTGGCCAGGAGCTGCCTAGTGAAGCCAGAGTGCTCTCCCAAGCAGCACTGCCCCTTCCACAGGGGCACTCAGCTCTTACCTGTGAGCTGAACTTGATCAGCACCATGTACTGGTTGGGGGTGGAATCTCGGATGATTTTCATGTGCTCAATCACTTCGTAGAAGGAAGCCACAAACTTCATGAGGTCGTGGCTGGTCATGGTAGCAGGGACTGTGAGGATGCAGAGCATGGCACTGCGCCTGACATCCTCCTTCAGAGAGGTCATCTTGCTGAGGAGACAGCAGGGACACAAGGTCAACTCAGAGCCACACACCTTCTGACAGTCACAAGAGCTTTGCTGCCACCATTAACCCCCTCTGGCATGTTTGGAGGTAGTAGGAAAGAGAAGCCAGGGGTTGTGGTCAGTGCCTGGTGTACCCAGGTGGAATTGGTTCTCTTTAGCAGAGGATTAAACTGGGTGGCTCCAATAAATATTGGTTTTGTCAGGAATAATTTGAAGCTGTTGTTGTATAAAACAGTTGAAGCTGGCGAGCCCCAGATGCTCAGAACTGCTCCTAGAACAAGCAAGCAACCTCTGTTTCTATGTCAAATGCCCATTTCCTGTCTCCCAACAGCTTTCAGAAGACCCAAAAGGCAAGTTCTCACACAATTAGAGAGGAGCAATGTGGAACTGCAACCCCTGGAACACAGGATGAAACCTCCTTCCCCAGCCAGCTCCTCAGGCCTGCTGCCAGCACCCCAGAGATCACCCTTTCATTGTGGCACCCCTGGAGAAGCCCCTTTCAAAGCTCATTTTTTTGTTAACAACCCACATCCACCTTACACTTCCAGCCCAAGGGACCAGCCCTGTCCACAGGGAGCAGCTTCACTGCAGAGAGGGCACCCAGGCCAGCCCCAAGCTCTGCTTGTGACACCAGGACCTGTCAGGGGCAAGTCATCCTTCCTGTTTGTCCCAGCTGAGGAGCCACAGCCCGGGGTGCCAGCCCCACCCTCCTGGGTGGCAGCATTTTGGGAGCACTGCTCCCACCCCTGGTGCAGCCAGCCCAGTGTCCTTACTTTGTCTTGTAGAGGTGCATAATGCCATGAACGATTTCAACAGAGGGGTTCCCACTGAAGAAGGAAATCTGGTCAGGGAGCTGCTTGGAAGGAGAGTCTGGAGCAGCCTCATGCTCTTTACTTGGCTCGTCGTGTTTAGTTTTGTCCTCAGCAGATGCAGCCTCTGAAGATTTTCTGCCTTCCACGGAGGCTTTTGTTTCATCTTTTACAAACCAAAAGTTTCCACAGGTTACTACTGGCCCATCAGAGACATCTGCTGTTCTCCAAGCACAGCCTCAATCACACCCCAACATCCCAAGGAGTCCAATTCCCAGCCTGGAAGGCAGCAGGATGAGACATCTCTCATCTCTGCTGTCCCAGGAGAAGCTCTGGGGTAGTCAGACACCCAGTGAGGGCCCCTGGCAGGATCCCAGTGCTGCAGGTTGAGCCAGGTGAGCTTCATGCCATGCCTGGTGACAGCTCCTGGTCATCTGACAGGATTTGGTGGTTTATATCTTTAAACTTCCCTCCTGTCAGGGAATTTACACATCTCCACAGTCTGGTGACCAGCAGCTCTGGCAAACACTGCCCAGCCCAAGGTGCAGCCTGAGATATATTCAGCCTTTATGGACTGGGGAATGTTTCCCAGCAACAGCCCCTCTCTCAGGCAGATCCCAACACTTCTCCTCGTTTTCCAAGCCCCGTGACAGGCTCCAGACCCACACACCCGGTGCCCACCCCGGCAGAGGGGGGTCAGAGGTGGGGCCGGTGCCCGGGAAGCCTCGTGCCCCCTCTGCAGTAAGGGGCCACCGGCGAC